ATAATTTTAAATTATTATAATAGGAGGAGGTTTATTTAATGACTAAAATATATTTAACTTAGAAATCATAGTAATATGAAAATTTTTAAACCAAATAATACTACATAATCAAGGAACAAAAAACCGGATCGGACACTAAACAGGTTGAGATAGTGGGTTAAGGGTTAATGGGTCTGATCAGGGTTAGACCAGTAATAATTAAAATAATATAATTTAATTACAAAATATTTATGTGTATAATTTTTTTCTTATTTTTATTTCTTTTTTCTCTTTTTTTTCCCTTCACATGGCCTAATACAATTTTTTTTCTTTATTATTTTATATTTTTATCTCTTCCTTCTCTCTCTCTCACGTGAAGGTCCATAGCACATGTCAGGTCACTTTTTTCTTCCTCCCTCATTGGATGGTCGATTTCGCAAGGTCATCTTTTTCTTCCTCTCTCCTGATTGAATGACATTACTTATGCATAGTTCTCTTCCTCATTCAAACTCTGAAATTCGTTCCTTCCTCTTTCTCAAACAGCTCTCTTCATCTCTCCCTCTTTCTCGAAGAGAAACGATAAACAGTGATTTTTTTTTCCTCTACGCACATCCATATCTTCCTCCTTGCCTTCCACTCTTTCACGAGCATGGGTTTGAAGCGGCAGACAAGAGACTTCCATCTTTTCTTCCATGATTTTTTCTACTTCTACCCCTTCTCTCAACTGTGTTCACGTCTTCTCCGGTGAATGGTGAGAAGGTGAGTAAAACCGGTTTTCCGGTTGAATCGACCGGTCCGGTCTGGTTTTTTTTTCATTGTACATAATTAACTATATGATATACTCTGTATAATTTATGCAAATATAAAATAAAAAATAATATTAAAAATTAAATATTATAAAAAAGTTAAAAAATTATTTTTCACTTAAAAAATATTATAAATAAATAAGTAAAAATTTATTAGGAAGTACAAGAAATATATAAAGAGATTCATAAGAATAACATAAATATAAGTACACGAATTTCTTTTAAGTCTAAAAAGCTGCTTTTACATAAATTATAAATAGGTTTCACGTACTTTTACAATCGTGTTTAAAAAAAATAACTTTTAACTTATAAGTCAAATTTAAATTATAAATCTACAAACGAACTTATTACGCTCATAAACTACTTTTCACCTGGTGAAACGTTACCAATCAGGTACTTAGCTCATGGATTTGGATCTATGGTAGGGTTTCTTAATTGAGTCTCAATTGAACAAAATACCAATCATTAAATTATGATCTAACACTTTATTAAACAAATGATGATGATGATGGTGATAAAAGCCTATTTTGGCATTTATATGAACCTATTAACTCCAGATCTATGGGTAAGTGGCCCTCTTACTCCCCGCGTTTTCCCCCAAAATTTCGCGGCTACACTTTTTTTCTTTTTAATACCCTATGTGCTGTACTAAATTTAAAATAAAATATATTATTTATGATTCACAAATTGCAAACCTCATAATTATTATAAATTTAATATTTCTTATACATGATGGTGATTGATAAATCCTTAAAAAAAAAAATGAAAGTAGCAGGTGCGGAAACACAGTCAAGTTGGTTTCAGGCCCTAAAAAATGTAGGCTTCCACATCATTATGTGCTGATTTTTTTTTTTTGAATTTCTGAGTTAAAGTATCCCTTTAGTCCTAAATATGATACATATTTTCTAATGTAATTTATACTACAAAATAAATTTTATATTTAGAATCGGATGAGTATGTATAAGCAAGATCTAAATCAGACCAAAAAAATCAGAGATTCTTGTGCCCCATGGGATGGTAATTAATTAATTTAATTATGTGCGCAATTCATTTTAAGTAAATTGAGGCAAAGGAAAAAAAGAAAATAAAAAAAGATTCTCATATTGTGCCAAAAAAGTAGATTATATAATAGTATTGCTGGTAAAAAAAGATTATATAATAGTATTTCTGCGAAACTGTTTCTGTTAATTAATAATTAATAGTTAATAATGAAAAAATAAATTCGGATTGATATGAACCATTTAGACATGAAAGATTACTTAACCAGGCTTATTGTTGTCTCTTTGTTTTTGTTGGGTGGTTCTGGATCACCTCAGTCCTCAACCTGAATCGAGATAGATATCATTCAATTGAAGAGGTCCACATCCGACAAAAACAAGGCTCGATTGAAATTAGGTTTTGAATCTTTAATCACATTATTCGAATTTCATCTAACCTTGGACGAGTCTGGAGTGGCTGAATACAAGATGCCTTGGTATTGGTCAAGATGATACAATATACTACCTCCAGTCCTAATTATGAGAGCTAATTGATTAATTTGAAGAGATTAAAAAAAGAAGTTAAGTTAGTTATTTGTCATAAATAGGTATTGTCTTTCCTAAAATATCCCTGTTAATCAAGTGTATTGGCTAGAACTGCCATTATTAAAAGGACTATCTTGAAAAAAATGTATAAATATTATAAACAAAGTAGATTAGGATTTTATATTGAAAACTAAAATGAAAATCAAACGAGGTCTTATATGACCCGGTAATATCATGATTTCAAATATGATAACATTGATGGTGATTTTATTTAATGATGAGAGTAGATCACAGTTTGGTTTCCCATAATCAGAGGCCTATCTTTGACGCGAAGTGGTTAGGCCAACAAAACGAGGCAACAATGTGATAATTAAGTTCGAAGTTCAAACTTCGAAGAAGCCGGGGGGGATAAAACTGAAACCTGCACACCAACAAGTAAAAACCAATACCAAAATTTATATATTACGAATTTTTTAGTACACACTGCAACCCTGAGATTCAAATAGCCTCAATATCTCATCATATTTAAAGAGCCGAAACATACAAGTGAACAAACTCAAACCCGACTTGGCCTAATTACAGTTCTTAATCTTGTGCGGCTGCTCCTTGATTGAGCTCCGCAAACCTCATGCCAACACGCATCGAGTGTTTCAAAAATTTCTCTGCACATCTTCGAACACAGCTTTCCTCTTGCCTTTGCAGGGATTTATGCTTGAAGATGTCAACACAATCATTAAAGCATCTCTCCACCAGCGAATTGTACATTCTAGACTGCAATCACGTCATTAGAATCAGACTCCAATCTCAAAGCAAGCAATGATTCGACAAGAACAAACAAGAGATTGAAAGAGTAACTTCGTAGTAGCAACATAAAAATAATCAAAGCAAATTTATAGCATCGCCCTACCTTTAATTATTGGCACTAATTCTTTACAAAGTTGACCAATTACATTTCCCGTCGAGATAAATCTAATCAAACTACCCATAGAAATGAACAAACAAAAAAAGTGCTACAAACAGAAGCATTCAGGGGTTTAAACTTGGCCAGCATGGACTGCGAGAGAGAAATGCTGGTAAACTAAGTTTAACCATCTAATCTTCCGTTGATCAGAGGTGCTGTGAAAAAAGAACAAGGCATGAACCAAAGAGTACGTCTATGGACCAACACAGGGCGCCTTCTGTGGACCGAAAAGGTGATTACTAAGCACATTTGAGTTAGAATTTAGTTTTCAGAAAACCGCCAGCAAAGGCTGGTTAATAACAACTAAGATCAATGAAAGAAAAGGAAAGCCTCTAACAAAATATTGTTCCTAAAACGTCCAGGTGCAACATGGACTTGTTGAACTGGTTTTAAGGAGAACTTCACTCTGGCTTCGTAGGAAGAGAACAGCAAGAACTAAAACATTTGTGATACTCGTGAATTACTAAGTACTATGAAGCCCCATGACTGGAATGTCAGTCAAAATCTGACGGCCATTGAACCTTCCTAAACTTCAAGGGAAAAAAAAGTTCCATTCCAGCATCTCAACCATATCCCATAAAGCTATTACCTCTTGACTATAAGATTTCATTGTAAACTATAAATAATGTCCTATAATTAGAACGGGAGGTAGTGTTTATTTATTTATTTCTTTTACCAACAACAATGGAACACTATGATAGTGATAGAAGCTAATTAATTAATTATAAAATTAAATTTAAAAATAAACACAAATCATGAAGTCTAAAGCATTTAAGGAATAATAAATCAGTGGGTATGGGAGAATGAGACCTTACCTACGACTACTTATCAGCGGTACGAGGAGACGAGATGCGGGAGGACGAGGGCAGTAGGCAGCACCGCCAGCAAGGATGGGCTGACGACTGAGGAACAGCAATGGAGAAACAGAACAACCGCTAAGAAAAGAAGGCGTCTTTTTTTTCTTTTTTTGGCTAAAGCATAAGTATTTTTCTATTGTAGGCAATCATATTCGAGACATTATTGGGTACTAAATATGAAGTGTGAACACTTCTTTCAGAGCAGATTCGAATATTAATTTACTATGTTACGAGAGACTAGCCTTTTCATTAAACACAATCCGTTGACAAAAAAAGGGGTCTCAACTGCAATAAAGTACAAATTGAGAGCCCAGTAACCTTCATAGGCCCGATATTTTGTTGGGCTCCGGATTTATCAACTCTGGGCTGCCCAACTCATTCGCAACGGGTCATAGAAGTGGCATGCATCTCGTTTGGGTAACTAAATAGCGGGCTAGGCCCATGATTTCACTCTGTATTTTTAGAGGGGTGGATTAGCTGCCAGCCGTTTTGAGTAATAGAAGCTGTAAATCTAGATAGTAAAACGAATCGAGAAATATGTGTATATATTTTTTAATTGAAAAATCTGTAGGCTGTTGATTATTTGTTCATCCTACGAAATTAATCAATATTCAGAGAATAAATCAAAAGATAACAAAGCAAGTCAATTCAAAGGCAATTTTCTAAACTGCGGGAAGGGAAAGGAACTTCATAATAAACTCCAAGTGTCGCACCATGCTATCGTTGAAGAAGTCGTAGTTAAACTAGGCGGAGTTTCCAATCTGTGTGATTGAATTGATTATTCGTGAGTTATGAGTTATGACCCTACAGATATGACATTAGTAATCTACTTCACGTTGATCCCACGTCGCTTTGCGCCTCAGGCTCTGCGTTCCACGCTCTGTCCCAGTTAGCAACCTTGGGTTTCATCGGAGCTTTGCTTATAATAACGATTCTCAAAGCTTCGACCTTTTCATCAATGGCCTGTTAGGTCTCCCTCTTGCAAAGTTAAACTACTTCTGGGAAGCGGCAATTAAATCGCTTCACAATTCAAACCCCATTGTCCCCACTCATTCTCCAGTTTGGTATGTTGACTTTAGACATCCAAGAGTCACATTCGGACAAAGCATCATTCGAAAATAAAAGAATTTTCTTCTTTTAAATTCTCCTTTGATTTCTTCTCATCCCATACATCATCAATACACAATTTCTATTTTATCTTCTCCACTTTTATAATGGATGAAGGCCCACTTCATTTTATTCATAGAACTTGGTCGCCGGATCAAGTTTAGATATGTCCACCCTGTTGAGAGATTAACGGCAATAGCAAAATGGGCACGCCCATATTCCATGAATTCAAGAAACAAGCTTCTTTCTTCCTCAAGGAGAAAATCAAGACTGCTAGATTAGCTCTTACTGATGTTACCCCTGCCCAACTGTATGGCTATTCCTTCATCTTCTTCTTCCAATTAATTTTTCTATCATTGATCACTTGTTCTAGTTCTGCTTATAGTCTCTATATCTCTGGTTTTGTTTCTTTTTGACGTCTTTTCACACTCGCAGGATGACAGAAGAGGCTACAAATGGGAATCCATGGGCTCCAGATTCCCCAACACTCAGATCAATTTCACAGGCTGCTTTTGAAGTTGATGATTATTGGAGGATTGTGGAGATTCTGCACAAAAGGTTCCTCGCACTTCCTTTCCTTTTCCTCGGCCTGTTCTCTATCAATATGTGAATCCCCCCCCCCCCTTTTTGGTAATAATCTGTATGTGAATTATTTGCGTTGAAAAGTGATAACGGATGATTGAGTGGGATGATTTTGAAGCAGGCTGATTAGATTTGAAAAGAAGAACTGGAGGGCCTCTTATAACTCTCTGATCGTGATTGAGCACCTGTTGACTCATGGACCCGAAAGTGTTGCACAAGAATTCCAAGACGACAAAAATGTCATCAATCAGATGATCGGCTTTCAGTATGTCGATGAAACAGGGTACGTTTCTTGTAATCTTTCGGTTTGTTTCATTAATATGCCAAGAAGAACAAAACGCGTCTGCCTAGTCAACGGAAAAAAATTTTCTACCAAAACTTCAAAAGTTCTCTATGAAATTTTCCTAGAAATGATATTTTCCCGCTAAACGGAATGAGAATATCTGAATTCCAAGTTCCACGCTCATGAATTTTATCGTTCTTGACACCACGGCACCAAGTTGTGAGCTCACTTGGAGTATTGTGCAGATTCAACTGGGGTCTAAACGTCAGAAAGAAAGCAGATAGGATACTGAAACTGCTAGAAGAAGGACATGTTCTTAAAGAAGAGAGAGATCGAGCCCGCAGGCTATCCAGAGGCATTCAAGGTTTTGGAAGTTTCTGCCAACGATCATCTGAACAAACCAGTCTACGACAAGAATCCTCGTCATCAGCATCATTTTTCAGAAGTCACTCCGATGTCAGCAGCCATGAAAACCACAATGCCAACTCAAACGGAGGCCAGAACGACGTGGCCGAAAATCAGATGCTGCAGAAGTCTGAAACAAGTACAAAAGAAAACGTGGCTCCTAACAGGGACGAGTTGCACCTATGGAACTTGAAAGGAGAATCAAATCCACTTCTGGACCATAGCAACGAAATATCCAGGCTTGACATCTTCAAAGGCGAAGATGACCACCCCTTCAATTCAACAGAGAAGCATGCCTCTGTTTCTCTACTTTCTGCCAGAGGTGGAATCGTACAGGGCTGTTGAAACAACATAAACTTTTGTATGGAGCTACAAGGCGCTTCATAATTTTGCCCGTTCCTAGTAGAAAACCAACCTAAGTTCTGCGTTGCCATTCGTGTTATGTGCGCACGCCGTACGCTTAATTAGTTTGTTCGTACTTGAACTTAGCCATCATTTACCAAGCAATTAATATAGCCATCTATCTACTTTTTAATTGAAGCAGAGATTCGACCTTCACTTCACTGGCCACTGGACAGAAAATTACTGAACGTGTTTAAGGCATTTCAGAAAGTCTGTTGACAGGCATGTCCAGTAACGTTAGTGAAGCTCTGCTCTTTTAGCGAGGCTTATTCATTTCTTGTTTCAGATAATGACAGCTTATTCACCGCCATGTCCTTAAGGTTAAGAGACTACATTAACAGCAATACGCTTAAGGTAGCAGCAGTGTCAATCCAGTTCCGCAAAATAGTTCCCCTAACTATAGAATTTTAATGGCAACTCTGTATGTACAACAGTATAATTTGTCAGGTTGATCGCATCTGAATGATTCTGTACCACTGAATGAGCTCCGATGATGAAGCTGGGTCGAAATAACACAACGGAATGCAAAACTAACATTTACAAATATTTGCAACATACATGAATGGCTGGATACGAACTTCAGGATTTGCAAAGCCAGTCTTGGATCGCAAGACGAAGTGCATGATTGGGCGTCAGATGCAGGTGACTCAATTGTAAATTAGTCATGGGAGAAGTATCATGACCATTTTCCAGCCACTCCCGTATGGCTTCCCCTTCGTAAGTGAATCCGTCCGCTGCAACCTGGGGATCGTGCATTATTTCCTGAAAAAAGGATCCAAAGAATTTGGGCCATGTTAAATACTAGAAATTACTGCATCTTGTTCAACAAGCTAAATGAGGCTCTACAATTAAGCTTAGTTCGGGAATAACCAAGCAACGCAAATCATGTTGCATTTTAATTGAGGACATTTATTTATAACTACCCTTTTGATACTTACAACTGTGCCATACCATGCAAACAACCACCTTTTTGAAATGGCCATCAAAGTGTATAATTTCCTTGCAAGGAATCCAAATGTTCACCCCCCCCCAAAAAAAAAAAAAACATTTTCCCATCCATGTGTATAGGCACGCGCGCGCATACAAGCACCAATCACCTGAAGGATGGGACACAGGAAAAATGATGGCACTGGTCGGTCTTCTGAAACATGCAATTGCTCCAATTCCCTCACCAGAGTAGGTGTAAGCTCGGGTCTATCTCTGCCATTTTGCTGACAGCATTGCAGTCCCAGTTCAACCAATCGTGTTGCTACAACTGAAGGCCATTCTCCAGCTGAAGAATCCAAAATTGAACACAATTTTCCACATGATACTGCCTTGCGTACCTCACCTGCTAACCCAACTGGAATAGTCCTGCCAGTGAGGAGTTGCAAAATGATAAGTCCAAAGGAATAGATATCAGACTTCGGCGTTAGTATTCCAGTCCTCTCAAACTCTGGATCTGTATATGTAGAAGTACTTTTTAACTCACTGCTGAATCTGAAACTAGGACGATAGAGTGACTCCTCTGTCAACAGTCTGCAGAACCCAAAATCGCATATCTTGCAACTAAGTGCAGAGTCAAGAAGAATTGTTTCAGGCTTTAGATTACCATGGACAATAGTTTTAGGTTTGGAAGTGTGTAAAAAGCAAAGAGCACTAGCAATTTCAGCAATCATGCGTGATCGGCTATTCCATGTCAGAGCGGAATTGTTGTTTTTCCGGAATAGGAAGTCTTGAAGACTTCCATTGGGTAAGTACTCATACACTAGTAACCAGGCTTCAGGACAAACACCAAGCAAAGTCAATAGATGAGGATGCTGGAGACTGCCAAGAACTTGAACCTGGAACACCAGGATAGACGTTAGTTGGACCAAAGAAACAAAGCACATGCTTAGCATCCTAGGAAATGGAAAGAAGATCAACATCTTAAACTAACAACATCAGCAAGAAGACACGTGGTAAGAACTTGGAAGAGTCTTGTGGCCCAAAAAACGTAGGAGAGATTAGTGAAGAGAACAGGGAGTGGAATGAAAACTGCAGCAACACATGGCCAATACAAGGAAGAATTTAGTAGAGATAATGGATTGGCATCTGTAGCAGCACCTAACCTATGACACAAGACAGGGAGGCATCACATCTTAGCACTTCAATTTCTGTTTTGATTTATTATTAACATTAATGTTAATCGTAGCTTATAAATAGCGATTAGATGCTCATTTGGGAGTATGCAGATATTTTTATTCAGGTATTGTGGAGATTCTAGCTTTCAATTTCCCCTGCTCTTCCTACTTCTATCATCATATCTGCAGTTTGGGGGCAATTATAGACCGGGGGGGCAATTATAGACCGGAGGGACATACAAAGCAAAAAAATCAACACTGGCTCTGTTAATTCTGGTCGATATTTAAAGGACTCGTTCATTCTTTAGTGTTTCAAAACATTTAAAAAACTAGCTGAGGGAATTTAAGGCTCCACAAGCATCCAAAGTTACTCTAAGAACATACATTTTTAATTTGCATCTACCAGTGTTTCAAGGATTTCTAAGACAAGCTAACATGGCGTCTTGCCTGATTAGCTTCAAAAGGTTCTGTAGGATCTTAGTAGCAGCTGTCCCTGCTATGTAAACCATTTATGGACAATAGCATAGACCTTGAGATTTCAGCGTTTCTGCCTCTGGCCCTCTCCAGTACTCATGCATTCAGGATAAATAATTTCAAAACCAGAAAAATGTTATGGGCAACTGACCTCTTGATGAAACTCAGTCGGTCCTTGCATGTTATGTGGATGGAACTTCCTTATAGCAACTGTCCTGCCCAGCATTTCCCCCTTATAAATACAACCATATCCTCCCTGTGCAATTTTGAAGCTCTCAGAAAAATTGCATGTAGCATTTTGAAGATCAGAAAGTGAAAATTCTGCTAACTCTGATAATTCTTCAGCAAATCCAACGACCCCATGGCAGTGTACAGCTCCAAAATGCCCCCGACTTTTCCATCGCTCAAGCCAGCGGAGGGCTTCCATTTTTTGTCTCCTGATCTGCTGCCTTTCATGCCACAGGGTTGAGATGGATGCTTGAATTAATAACAACTCAGCTGCAGCTTCATCATGCCGGCGGTTTGCTTCCTGTGCACGACTGTCCAGAAGGGCAATATTTCTCATGGTCCTCTGCAGCATACTAGCAACTTCTTCACTCTCATACAAGAGCTCTTGTTGCTCCTGTACTGTGGCTTGCAGTGCATTCTCTGCCTCCTTTCTTAGCTTTACTTCATATGCATAAGCAGATTCAAGCATATTGACCTGGAGGAAAGAGAGTGTCAAAGACAAATTCAACTCAAAAGTTTAATCTTTTGTGAAGACTCAAATATTTTTATCATATCATAATCTCTAATAAAAAGAATTCACAAGATTGGAACAAGAGATGAGGTTCAGAATATGATCACGCTGAACAATTAATATTATCATTTATCACTAATTATACTTGTTTTCCAGGTCCGTTCTATTACTTCCGCCTGAAAAAGTTTACTAAAAAGCCCAAAGGAACCCAGTATTCTGTTGATAACTTCTCTCTTGTCGGAGTTTCTTTAAATCATATAAAAAAGGTTATACTTGATGCTTCTTGTTAAGGCAACAATTCAATTGCCCAGTTTCCCTTTAATAGACAGATAGAGTATAGGCTTCTATGCTAATGGTTATGCTTACCTTCTTTATGGCGTCCATAGCTTCTGCTTCAAGTCTTTTGCATTTCAAAAGCTCTGCAAAACCCTTATCTTTCGCAGCTTCAACTTCTATTCTGGCTTCGGCAAGTTGATTACGAAGTCTATCTTCTTCAACATCATCAGAAGTCTCTAAATAATCCCCAGTAGAATTTTGGGGAGAAGAGTAACTGGTAGAAGCAGATGATTTGGATGAAGAAGTCGCGCCCACTTCTAAGATTTCACCCTGAGACAAACTACCAGTTCCAGTACAGAGTGCAGTTCTTGCAGAATTTGATCTATGGAATAATTCACTCTTACCATATTGAAACGATCTAGTTATCAAGCTGTCTGAGGCAGCAGTCTCAGATTGAGATTGTAAAGACAAGGAACAAGGATTCTCAGAAGCTTCTCTTGTCCATATGTGCTTACCTTTGTGGACAAACCATATCTCACAGAATGGGGGAGCATTCTTGGCAGCATAATTTGCCTTCTTGGAATTCCTTTTCACCTTCATGCGACTGCATTTTATCGAATCATTTTTCACGACAATCAGAAATCTTATATGATTTTTGCATGCTAAACTAGCAATGTGATTTTCAGTGAAGAGTCAGTGTACGTCATAGCATTACTTACTTCTCAGGCACTGCTCCTATAACAAGCTTCCTAACACCATGCCCGATGATTAAATCAACAATTCCTTTGTGCACTTGCTCGGCTTCACCTATCACACTGGTTGCCTTAACCTGAAAGAAGTTACTTTTAAAGAAATTCATTAATAACAGATTTATTATGCATATTGCATTTTCTCTAATTAAAAGGGAAATATAAACAAATTTCAACTTTACTGTTGCGCATATTTTGAAAGCATGAGGCATTAAAACAAAGCGACTAGTTAATAAAGAACTGGATTTAAAAATGTCTCGCAAAATGCGAAGTTGGATTCTTTTCCCCTACGAAAGAAGATTTCAAGCGTGGCTGAGTATGCATTAAGTGCCCTTCCCAGGAATCAAATTTGTTCTCTCCAAGCTGCTCTCAGCAACGTCAGAGAGTGTATTTGTCTTAAACGAACCGTGAATCTGATTGCATGTGATTCCCTCACACACAATCAGGAGATAAGAATAAGGGTGCATTTACGAAAGGTATATGGAATTTTTTATTTTAAGATTTACTAACAAATTTTTCTAGATAAAAACAGACGCACAATTTTTTGGTATAGAAACGGAACCATAAATGAATTTTCACGATATGTAAAGAGCTGAGATAATACTCGGTTATACACATTAACAAAAAGAGATTACATAGGGGATTATCTCATTATTTTACACCAAAAGATCAGATGTGCTAAGGAGAGATAATCAAGGAAAATAAAACTGTACAATTCCAACCCAATATGGTAAAAATTTATAAAACCAACCAAGAAACCTGATATGACAATATCTGGAATAATGCAAGGAGGAAAAATATTAACTTTCTTAATCGGTGAATACAGATAAGCGGAAATATGGATACCTTAGCTGCATGGCAAACGCTCAGGTAATTCTCCAAAAGCCTCGTGGTCTGTTCTCTTTCCTCTCTTCTGAAAGCAGAAATGACTTCAGGATTTGCTTGGGTCGCAGGCAATTTTCCCACTGCTCAACAAACCGAAGTTAATTTACAGGGGCTAAAACGAAAAGCTAAACCTAAGAATCCCAAAACAGAGCAGAGATGAGCTAAATTGCTATGGATAAGACTCAGCAGTTCCCAAATTATAGGCTACAACTCGTTGAGGTTCCAAACGGAGACTAAAGCGCACAAAAGAGTGGATGCTCAGACTTACGAAGAGTTGGGATCATAGAGGAAGGTTGATGAACATGGAGAATGCAAATTTGGGAGTTGCTAAAGCGGCCAAAAGTCCATTGAAGCAAATGGACAGCTTTGTCCACCGACTTTCCGACAGCAACGTACACGGATTCAGTACATTCAGCCATGGGCTGGGGCAGCTGAGAGGTGGCAGCTCCCTGGCAGGCGAAGGGCAAAGTCAGAGTGAGGGGCGGCGAGACGCCATGGAAGGGGTCTCCGGTGGCCACAGACTGCTGATGCTGAAGAGGATGAGAAGGGTTCAAGAGCTCCATGAGAAGCAGTGGAGGGAGAGGAGAAGTGAGGTTAGGAAGGGAAAAGAAAGCATCGTGGAAGATGCTCTGATTGATTTTCTTCCAAACTGGGAGGCTTGACCTTGGCGCTGACTCCGGTGTTCCCTCGTGATGCGGCGGAATTGGAAATCACTTCATTGGTTCATTCATTCAGCTCCATCCACCCTGTATCGAGGCACCTTTCTTGCAATTTTTCCCTTCGCCAACTGACATGTTTTCGGGGGAAAAACAATCGGTCAACAAATATAATACTACCTCCTGTTATAATTATAAGAGTCAGTTGACTAATTTAAAGAGATTAAAAAAATAAATTGAATTAATTATTTATCTTAAATAGGTATTGTCTTTTTTATAATATCCTTACCAATCAAGTGTATTAACTAGAATTATAATTATTAGAAGGATTATCTTTAAAAAAATTGAGTAAATATGAGAGATAAAGTGGATTGGGGTTTTATATTTAGGACCAACATAAAATTCAAACAGGGTCTTATATTAAGGATCGGAGGTAGTAATAAAAAACCTCACTTGTAGGGAAAAATACTTCAGTTTTTAATACTACCTGCAATCTTAAATATAAAAAACTGGTTGACTAATTTGAGTAGAATAAAAAATAAGTTAAATTAGTTATCTGTAATAAATATATGTTGTCTTTTCTAAAATATCTTTACCATGTGTTAGTTAGAACTACCATTATTAAAAAGATTATTCTGAGAAAAAATAGATAAATATAAGAGGTAAAGTGGATTGGAATATTATATTTAGAATCAAAATAAAAATTAAACGAGTTTTTATATTAAGAATCAGAGATAGTATAAAAGTTAATTTTAATTTTAATTTGATTTTGCATATAAGACTTAAATCTATTTTGTTTCTTATATTTTTTTCATTTTATTAAAGATAATCTTTATAATAACTGGGCATATTAAAAGTTTCATCACACGGTAATTCTAACTAATAAAGATATTTTAGAAAATATAAAACTTATTTATTACGAATAACTAACTTAATTATTTTTTTAATATATTTAAATTAGTTAGCTAATTTTTATATCTTCCAACTCAAATAATAACATTTTGATATGTATGAACATGTGCAGTTTTTCTGCGAAATCATTTTACGCATTGAGAATTGAGATAGCACTTTCAGAACATTTAAAAAAATAAATCGAGTGCGTGTGAAATTTAAAATTAAGTAAATGATATGCATGTATATGCATAGTAAACGAAGCTGAATGAAATAATTAATGACAATTGGCAGGAAAAAAATAATTGGCAGACGTGAAATTAAATTACTATTTACAAAAAAAAAGTGGTGCTAATTTTAAGGGATTAAGACATGATATTTTAACTTTCTCCACCAAAGTGATGTTTGTGACAAGTAATACAGTACTCTTCTAATTTTAAATATAAGACCTTTATACACATTAATATAAGAGTTTTATATTTAGGAGCAAAGAAGTATAAACAGAATAACTGGCATTTACAAGGTGTGACAATTTTTTCAGTCATATGCTTATACCTTTTTTTTATAATTTAAATCTTTTTAGTGATATCATACATTTATGATCTTCGAGTTTTTTTCCTTCTTTGCAATTACAAAGGCCCTTCTCTGACATTTCCTTTTCTAATAATAATAATTCGCCTCCAACACGCCAGCATCTTGCCAAGGACACAGGTGATGGAATTTCAAAATTGAAGGCAAGCTGGCGTCATGTGGGTGAAAATCGCAGCTGAAAACTCAACGACGCAGCCCGCCCATTTTGACTGAGAGGGGTGTGATAGTCTTTTTATAATTATATTCATGATGGGCCTGGCCCACTCCAAAACCTAAACCGTGGATAATAATTAATAAGACACTTTTTGTCACCCTTCCTGGCTAATTCTGTATTTCTGGTGTGTCTAAACAAGCCACCAACCTGTTTAAATTTGATCAGAATGTTTTTATCTTTTTTGTTCTGGTTCTTAAATTATATATGTTCCATATTATTTCCTCTTTTCATCTTACGTTTCATTTTAAATTTAATTTTGAAAATTATTTTTGTTCATATTTCATCATTTGTCTTTTTTTTAAAAAAAATCTGAGCATATGAAAATTAATTCATTTCCAAAAATTATTGATCAAGAACTAAGACAATGACCAAATAAAATTGGAATGAAATTGAAGACCAACATGTACGAAATAAGATGAAATTAAATAAAAAATCTCAGATAAAATTAAGTGGACGAAACATTCATATGAGCCTAACACAGCATGGATGATAGAAATTCCAAAGTTGCTGTTCAAAATGGCTTGATAAAGCTAATCATTATAGATTGAAACAGCAGTTGGCATCCTGGGCTAGGATGCTGCTAAGAATTGAATTTTAACTAGCAAATGGGATAGGCCCAGGAAACCCCAAAAAAGGGAAAGAAAGAAAGAAAAAAAAAGAGAGAATGGCATGGACTTTGCATCGAATATCAACTGTTGTAAGTTTAAGAAATTGCAATGATAAAATAGAAGAACGAAAGAATTTAATCCGTCCTCAAACTCACTCCACTTTCGCCAGAATAAACACTGTAAAAAGAAGAAAATTGAAGAGAAACTGCGAATCCTTTGGAACGTGCAATTGCATAATTAACAACCAAATATGAAGGCCATGTATAATTCCACCAAAGCGCCACTTAAAAGCATTTCCTGTGCACAATTGAAGGACCAGACTCATCGTACTCTGCCTTTGCAATCCACATCTGCATTTCAAACAACATGTTATGATTAATATTGTCTTAACATGAAGCCCCCACAATGAATGGCACATACATATAATGAGAAGAAGACGCACCTGTTGGAAAGTGCTGAGAGAAGCCAAGATGGAGCCACCAATCCAGACGCTGTACTTTCTCTCCGGTGGAGCAACCACCTTGATCTTCATGCTGCTGGGGGCCAATGCAGTGATTTCCTTGCTCATTCTGTCAGCAATTCCCGGGAACATGGTAGATCCACCACTAAGCACAATGTTCCCGTACAAGTCCTTCCTGATATCGACATCGCACTTCATAATGGAATTGTACGTGGTCTCGTGAATGCCCGCAGCTTCCATTCCGATCATGGATGGCTGGAAGAGGACTTCAGGACATCGGAAACGCTCAGCCCCGATGGTGATGACCTGTCCGTCGGGCAACTCATAGCTCTTCTCAACAGCAGAGCTTGTCTTGGCAGTTTCCAGCTCTTGTTCATAGTCAAGGGCAATATAAGCCAGCTTCTCCTTCACATCCCTCACAATTTCACGCTCAGCTGTGGTAGTGAAGGAATAACCACGCTCCGTTAGAATCTTCATCAAGGCATCAGTGAGGTCACGCCCTGCCAGGTCAAGACGGAGAATGGCGTGCGGTAGGGCATACCCCTCATATATGGGCACAGTATGGCTCACACCATCTCCAGAGTCCAGAACAATACCTTCACAGATCAATTATAAAACAATCATCAAGTAAGATCACTTGAAAGAGACTTAAAACTATACACAACGGGGGAAATAACGAGAATGAGAAGTGACTAACCAGTTGTACGGCCACTGGCATACAAGGAGAGAACGGCCTGGATGGCAACATACATGGCAGGGGTGTTGAAGGTCTCGAACATGATTTGGGTCATTTTCTCACGGTTAGCCTTGGGGTTGAGGGGTGCCTCGGTGAGTAATACTGGGTGCTCTTCCGGCGCAACACGGAGCTCATTGTAGAAGGTGTGGTGCCAGATCTTCTCCATGTCGTCCCAGTTACTCACAATACCATGTTCAATGGGGTATTTCAGAGTCAATATACCACGCTTGGACTGAGCTTCATCTCCCACATATGCATCTTTCTGGCCCATCCCAACCATTACGCCCGTGTGACGTGGACGACCGACGATGCTAGGGAACACTGCCCTTGGAGCATCATCTCCAGCGAATCCGGCCTATGCAGTAGAGTGACAGGACATTAGTTTTAATCCAACCACATCATTCACTGACATAAACTACTTCGGATCGGAAATTAAATTATGTCATTGCTATTCTACCTTGACCATGCCCGTCCCATTATCACAGACGAGTGGCTGAATATCCTCGGCGTCTGCCATTTAATATCTGCCGCTGGACCAAGCACGCAATTTCAATTAGAACATTGGCCAAGGACATGATGAAATATAGACACCTAAAAAAGATAGATTTGCAAAATGGTTGGACAGCTGGAAGTCGGCTTAGCCTGTCCATGAGCATGACTTGCTCCATTTCCTGGGATCTTATAGCTAGCATGTGTGTGATAAATTTCACATTAGAAACTCGCCCTTGTGGCATTCAATCTAAATATTCCTACGTGAATTCGGGAATAAAACATAATATATCCTTGTTCTATTCAATGGGACTAGTAATATCGAGCACTGCTGGGCATTTAAAATATTGATTCTCAGTCCTTCCAACATTGAAAAAGGGGACAATATTTATTGGAAGGGAGGAAGTTAAACAAGCGTTAAATGGCTCTACAACCAGCTCAGTCCTTGCAAAAGACATCCTACACTAGAGTATCATTCTGTCATGCGTATCTTGAAGAATACATACTTTGTTAATTAATAGATTTCGTCTAGCTTTCAACAGAAAAAAAAAAGGAAAAAGAAATCTTCAGATGCAATTAAGATATATTAAGTTTGAATTAATAAATCTTCAGGTGGAAAGATTACTTGAGTAATTATGGATAATTAGTTCCGGCAAGAATGAAAGCAATCAAGCACTTGAAGCACATTCAAAATCACTTCATGTACCACGGGCACAGATCAAGCAACATATGCTACACTAGTCAATATATATCAGAACGTCGCATTTGCAATTTGATTGATCGACAATAATAAGGTTGAGGATTTGTAACGCAGTAACGAATCATGGCAAACAATTGAGATCGAAATGTGGCGGAGGAAATTCAGCTTTCAGAAGGGCAAAGCATATATAATTGGAAAGCAAAGTTTGAATTAAGAATAAGGGAATGCCAAGGATGAATATTGCATGCAGAAGAGAAATTCACCTGAAGATCCCGAGAGAGGGAGAGAGAGAGATGAATTAAGGGGTGATTGAAGCTGGGCTGAAAAACTTGCAAATGAGATCGAAAGCATGCATGCCCAAATGAAAGCTAGCCTTCAACGTGTCTGGGTTTATAAATCAGAGAGTCGGAGCTTTCACGTCCACGACATTGTTGAATCGTATGAGTGAGGCCCGATCATCGAAACGATATCCATGTTCCTCCTCACGCGTGTCGTTTCGATGTGTGGTTCTTTTCCAAGTTGCGGTCAAACTTCAACATTTCAACTCCTCCTTTACTACTATTTAAGTCACTTCCTCCCCCCTTTCCTCCCAAACTAGCGTCTCAATTTCGTATTATTATGAATTTTATCACAATATCAAAATCACACTGCTTTTAAAATTACTAAAGGTGCAAAAGAAATTTCGAATTGAAAGCAAAAGGCTCGAGTGAGTCACCGTTTAACAGAGGAAGTTTATGTTTTCCTAATTTTGGAGCCAGGGGAAAAATCACCAATTTTAAGTTTGAAATTTGCGGAAGGAGACAATAAGGGCGTGGTTCTGAGGGATACTATTGAATCCGTAGCATGTTAGTTTTTGTATATAAATAGATACAGCGAACCCTTTAAAACAAGTTAAGGCCATTTCATGATAGTTATGTGTATATTTAATTGTCACTTGTAGTAATTTCTCACGTACCAACAAATCATTAAAATATAAAGTTTTTTACTTTTATTCTTATTAAATTGCTAGTATGTTTTTTTCTTACTCATTCTCTTTCTCTCACCTTTATATTTATCTCCCTTAATTAATAGGAATAAAATTAGAAACGAAGTGTTAAAAAAGTTACAAGTAACAAAAAAAAAGATCAAAATCTCTCTCGCAAGTGATAATTAAAAAAAAACAAGAGTTACAGTAATATATCCCAAAAGAAATGGGGAGAAACTTGGAGACAGCACGCACGAGGATGGCCTTGTTTGGTGGGGAATGGACGTAACATCTAGAGAGATGAAAGAGAGCAGGATCTAAGTGAATGGACCCAACAAAAACTCGAGACTTTGGATCCTATAGCCTTATTTGGGCCTCGCCGGCCATAAATAACAAAATTTGAAGGAAATGAAATTGGAGGGGAGAGATGAGAGATGATGATGAGAGAGGGCAGGAATTGGAGCAGAATGATCAAGCATGAGCACGCATTGTTGGGGGGTAATCATGTCCCATGAGAGTGAGCGCGCGTGTACGTGTGTCCTTTTTAATTAATCAAGCTGCTCCTAAAAACAAAGTTACCTTTATGTGGTGAAATCCAAGCAATCCTGAATTCCTCACATGCAACCTGTCACTTTCATAAGGGCGTGTGTGAGTGTCTCAGGATATACACCATCAAATTTCTATTCCAAACAGCAAAATCATCAAACAAATTATCATCGAAACCAAACTTACCTAATCTCTTGACTTCCCCCCTCCTTAATTACATTTTGTTCATTTCAAAGTCCTGAGTTCAACCAACTCCTTCAGCTTGTTTAGGCCCAACAAAAAAAAAAGCCTTCAATGCCTCATCCGTTTCCACTGATTTAATCTCTTTTAGACGGTTAATGTTTTGTTTGCACGCACAAATTATATAATCGTACTGCATCACCAGAAAATGAAACAGCGTGCATTAAGAAATGATCCTCTCGAAATTCAAATAAAACCAGTCGTCACGCCATATTCCAAAGGAAGTCTTAGCTTTCAGACGCCGGGGATTCCACTTTCGTGACACTTTTTACTGTTCTCTTTTGTTGTTATGTTTAACGATAAAAGGATAAAATATAGAGCAAAGGATTTAAGACTCGACACTGTTTGTATCATGTGTAAAGTGGATTTAATGCATTACCTATATGCTCCACATCAACTTGTTGAACATATCTCCAAACCAAACGCTATATATTATTCTTTTCATAAAAATACGCTATATATATATATATTGCTATATTGAAGCCTTTGTCTGTCTTCGTCCATGCTCGACACGGGTTAGATCACCTGAACGAATCCGGATTTACATACGTACTGAGCTAACTATCAATCAGGAGAAAAAATAATATAATGATCGTCCTCCAAAGCACGATCAAATCTTCTCTGTGAATATATGGATGGGTAATTATGATGTTGGGAAAAGGGTATTCTTTTTTCGATTGCAAGAGGGTTAAAGTATCAGATTATTTAAATCTGGACGAGGCACGGACGAAATCCATGTGAATATAAAGGGAGACATTTGGTTTCGGATATACGGAAAAAGTGGATGCCTTTTAGAGACCGGTCCTTCCGGAGGCTGCAAATCAATGTTGCTCAGTGAAAGGTCAAGGGAAAATTAATAAGGTTTCCCTTTTCTTGCCCTCGAAAAGGAATCAGTCGCCATATGTCTTATTTTCCGTCAAAGTAAACCAGACTGTGGGTAATTATAAGTTATTCCTTTCATTTTATTATTTATGTGTATACTTATAAGATCTTGTTTATAGTTTACAAATGAGATTGTATAATTAGAACATAATATCCACTAACCCGGCCGGACGTATCAAAAACACTTGAAAAGTTGATTTTTCATGCCTCATTTTCTCTTCCTATCACGCTTGTGCTCTCTTGCAAAGGCAGCTTTGAGCTTGGACTGTATTAAGAATGTAAGATGTTGGCTGCTGGTGAAAAAACGCAAGGGAAGTAAATGATGAAGATCTACGCCATCTATACTGTTTTCGCTCAGCCTGATTTTTTTCAATAATAACTAGTAAATATGTACACCTTTAGTTATGATATACGACAGGAATTAAGATGCAATTAAATTGGAATAAATTGTAACCAGAAATGCTGTAATTATAATTATATGAATATATAGAAATTTGTAATTTATTTTTTAATAAGAATTTTTAGCGAAAATGAAAGCACGTCCATTGTGTAGGGAATGAAGCACGTGCAAGGATGCATGAGAATCTGAAGGAACCCCATGAAAACAATAGAAATTAAAAGAGAGAAAGAAAGGAGGGGATGTATTTAATAATATAAAAATGTGAGTCTAATGGCTGACTCGCAGGGAGAAAGTCCCATGGACCCCAATGACCCATGCCATTGCTGTCTTTACTTCCTAATTTGTAGTGAGAAAAATGGAGGAGCGAGACGGAGAAGTGGCGTCTGTGCGAATATTTGGTTGCATCGGATCCTTCGCCGAATTGGGGTTTCGAATCAAAAGCCCTCTCTCTCTCTCCCCCTCTCTCTCTCTTCCTGTCGTAAGTCATGAGCCATGAGGCCGCCCACGCATGAAGTTCGTTTGCCTCACTGCTAAAATCCAAACACCGTTCAGAATCCCTCTTAAAATATGGCATCCTCCTCGTTTCTTAATCTTCATCCTCCCTCCCACCAACTTCATCTACCATGCATCTCTTTCTCTCTCTTCTTACCTTCTCCCTCCCTCATTCCTTCTCTTGATTTCGCACCCTGCCCACCTTAATAAACACAGCTTTCTTTTCTGCCCCTTTCATATGTCATCCCAATTCTCACCATCTTCGTGCAGCTTCATGGGTGTGCCCAATTCACAAGTTTTTCTCTCCGACAAGGATCTAATCGACATCGAACGACTCAACATCTTGGTAAGATCTTCTCCGCCAGAAGATCCCGTGCAGGGGAGAGACGCTGACCCTCGAGACCCTAGGGATATACGACACGCTGTCCTTCTCTGCCTCTGAAGATCAGAATTCCGACGTCGTACGAGGACAAAGACGATGGTGAGGGTCTGAAGACTCCGACGTCTGCGATTCACAGAATATCGGAGATGCTGCAGTGTCCGCCTGCGCCTAGAAAGCCGAAATCACTTCCATCCAGGAAACGAAGAGCTTCTCTCGTCCGCTGCTTTCTTCTCGATCTGTCCAAAGAGATCGA